CACAAGCTAAAAAAAAAAATGTACCTAATGACATCACGCCGACAGGACTCCGCTGTAAAACGCGACGGAACACTTCCGATTACCAGTGTCTTCTTAAAGTTCATAAAAGTGCAGTTCAATTCGACTGAATGGACTTGAAAAACTTAGTATATATTATCTACGCAAGTTTGCTTCAACGTTTCTGGTTCATCGTATTTATTGATTTTTGTTTGTACAACATTTCATAAAAATGTTTTTCGACCGGCGATTTCCATGAAAAATAAGCATGATATTCCAATTTGCTTACATTATATTTGTAAGATTTTTCGAGTTTATTACAGTGATTAAAATGTTATATTATTACGTATCTGTTTTACAATCACCGAGACCAGCTACAACGCTGAAATATATGTTGTCAACGGTATACTATAATCGCGGCTCAGCAAATAATATAAATTGCATACGCAAAAACGGCATTATTTTTTCGCCGTAGGTTGTCGAACGACCTATTTAATCGTATCATATGTTAAATGAATTCATGTAACATGTATGATATATATTAAAGTGACCTAGTATTTTCGCATATTAGAAAATTATCTGAGTAAATACGTTTAAGGTTGTTTTATTTCTAGCATAGACGTCCGCAGTAGTTTTTTTTCCTTCCGTTTCAGTAATAGGTTTCTAATTTAATTTAATTCAGGGGTACCTTACAATAAAGGTAGTAGTATATCATGTATTGATAGGATAATATCCTAATATTATACCTTCGGTTTTTTTTAAGCTATATATAATCAAAAATATTAGGTGCACATAATATTACTAAGATATTAATTTTTTCTAACATTGATTACATACTACTAAACGGATAAATTATAGGATTAATACTGTGTTTTTACATTAAACACTTGTTGTTTGATTCAAAGTCTAAGAATTTTCTAAACTTTGAAAAATATGTATGATTGTCTAATACTTGAAATTATTTTACGGCGTTCTCAATTCAAGTTCGCAAGACCATGTGGAAACCTTCCGGTTAAATCAACCAACAACACCATTCGTCTCGGTGTTGCTACATTATTACTAAGCGCATATGACGTGGAGTGTATAGTATATATCCATATATACAGTGAAACTTCTAAATAGCGGACACTGTCGAATCTTGAAATGTTGTCCGCTCTTCAAAGGAATCTATTATTTAGGGGGGGGAAATTTTATTATTATTCAGTTAGAATTTTAAAATATAAATTAGAAACATTTAATTTTTACATTAATTAAATACATATATCTAAAAAAATGAAAAAAAAAAAAAAATGCATTCGTATTGTCATCACAAAATATACTGCAATTTATAATGATACATTTATTAAACTATAACTTAATAGTGTAGACTTTAATTTAGGTATTTCACAGTTATTCTTAATTTACGATGATAATTATTAATTTTAAAACAAATACCATCAAATTTCATATGAAATATCATAAAAGTGTCCGTTATATAGAGCGTCCCGTATTCAGAAGTTTTCTTATAGAAAAATAGTGAAAATGTCGCCGTTCCTAAAAACGTCCCATTACACATAGGTGTCTGTCAAGGTAGGTTTCACTGTACACACATATACGGCTACCTAAACGCCGTGCTATGGCTTCGAAAGTTTATTACGCGATGCAAATATAATTTAATTATCACGTTCGGCGCTCACTGCACCGATGCATTCGATAGACAAAATATTATAATGCCGGTAATACTATTTACCATGCGCACGTAAACAGCGTTTACATTGTACGGCGACGTGCGTTCGTGCGTCGAAACGATGAGAACGACACGTGGCCCGGGTACGCAAATTCACGCGGAAAACAATACGGACCGGTCCGTATCGCGATATAATATGCAAATATTATTTTTATTATTATATTATTTGTTATTATTATTTTTTTAACGAGTGGCATTTGTGCTACGTTCTCGCCGTCAAAACGTGTGTCGTCAAACCGATTACTTTTCTTATTATCAACTCCATGCGTTTATAATTACACAACGCCGTCTTATAGTAATGAGCATGGAATTACGCGTATATTCATGTACTACGTAATGTTGAGGAAAATGTTTACCCCGCGTTAGTACTACATTCGATGGCACTTATAAGAACCACTATAATTAGAAACTAAACCGTTCCGATTCTTGGACATTCGATTCTAATCCGCCTGCACTTCTGTTCTTAAATCGTGTTACGTTTGCGGTTTGATATTAAACAAATCGTTAAAATTATATTACGAAAACGTTGCGCCTCGTCACCGTTAACCTACCGGTGCAAACAAGGGCACGGAAAAATTTCACTGATCTTGGAAAATATTTACTGTTTTTGTTCATTACTTCAACATTTTATAATCAGTACATTTTCTAACAGTGATAAGTAAAAACGATTATTTGTTGATGGACAAGCAGATATCGGGCTTGAGTGAATGATCCATCATTTGATGGGACTTCGCGGCGTGTGGATAGTTTTAATCGTCCAGCTGCTCACGGCATTATTTGTGTTACAGTCATCTTCCGGAATGACCTGGTACGATACGAATGAACAGGTTGGCGACAAGATGGTCGGTGTAGTTATGTTGTAGGCGATGGTGAATAGTTTTAGCAGTGTTTTGAACTTTTGATATTGAGGATTATTATTAAAGATATCTTTTGTCTTATTTTGTGATTGAAAATCTTATAACGAAACAATTCATTGTCCGACGTCGACGTCGAACGAACGAGATACAAAACGAATTAACTGATTTAAACATAGACGCATATTTTGCGTACGTATTATATGTGTATATTTATAGAAATAAAGTATCGAACAATGCACGTCATGCGCATCTCACATTTCTGTACTTTGGTTATTTATGAAACTATTTTTGTATTTTTGTATCGTCCGTCACTGTATTAAGAATAGGGTTTAGTAATTATTCCGCTGTGGTATGGAATCGATTTTCAACTATAGAACTTAGCTGAAAAAAAACTTGCACGCGTTAACACTGTTTCGTAACAAAATTCAAAATTCTGCATGTAATAGCGTCCACTCGAGTGCGCATATACGTGTGTGTACGTGATAATAAAACTAATATGATGATGATTATAATGGTAAACCGAGCGAAACGTTTTTGCCGTGTACCGCAATACACGTTATATAGTTTATTAGCTGCTGTGGTCAAGTTTCAAAGTTGTGTAGGTCGATTGTGTTGGGCAAAAGTCACGAATGGGAAGTTAATCGTGAAACGGGAACACATCAAGAACAGACGCCAGTATATACGCCCAGAGACAAGCCATGTTGATTTATTGTCTCGATAACATCGGATAGGAGGAGTACGTGTCAAATTTTTGTTAACCACTTGTGCCATCATTCACAGCGAAAACTCTCCCAGTTGAATAATATTGATGCACTTTTCCGACCGTAGTCGTGTATAGGTGTGTATGTGTGTAAAATACATGACGAACACAATTTCGAATTCTTGCTCTTATATAGAACACACGGTCTACACCGTGGATGTACTTCGAATATAAATCGTGCCAAATTCTCCTTCATCACCGATAAACAAACGAATTTCAATGATTTTATTTTTCTCTCCCTTTTTCAACGACTCACGCGATCGTGCTTAAATAATGTAACACGTTACAAGAGCAACTTCTATTGGTTTAATGACACACGATTAAATAAAGAAATATTAAATAGCCTTGGGAGAAACCGTTTTAAAAATAACAAGCCGTTTGTAATATATACATATATGGATACTACAGCGATTATATCCAACATAATTTCGTCATTATAAATCAATGTCCATGAAAAAACAACTGAATCGTTACACATCCGCATCTCCGTTTATTCTGTTTTCCGTTCTTCTTCCATCACCAAGAGTTTATCGTCAGTAATTCGCGGCGTTGCGCTACTATCGCGGTATAATAGTATTCTGGCCGTGCATCGGTACAGGTGGCTACAGCGGTTTATAATATATTATATTGTCAGTTCGATTTCAGAGAGGATGATATACATCATATATATATACATACCGTTTACCGAGTGTACGGTTTCGCGAACCACACCCAAACGCTCGTCCACATGTGTGCACACACGCACCTCGATTTCCTGTGTGCTAACCTTACGCCAGGGCTCCATTTAAATCACGATCGTTCGCTAACCCAATTGCACCGCTTCCGTTGGTGTATTAAATAAATCCATGGTACAACCGTGATTGAAACGCGAGTAGTGCGCTTCCCGGAATAAACCGTAGGCAAATAGTGTGTGATGATAAATATATATATTATATTATGCACTTTGTGTATATGTGTATAAACAACCATAAGAAACCGCGAAAGAGACGCTTTCTCGAAACGAAAGGATCCGACAAGGATTTACGTTTGCTTGAGAGGCGTTACAAGGAATATAATATAATTGCGACAGGTTGTGGATGATGGGATAGGTGCGGATTACGGTTGACGGGGAAAAAGAGAAGCGGTGCGTGATGAATGTAAGAATTATGTAAAAATATCGCGTTGGGGCCAAAAACAAGCGAGCTGGAGGAAGAAACAACCGTGGAAGAGATCTTCGTTGCTCGTTCTGCAAGTTTTTTTTTTTTATCGAGTAGTCTCTAGGTCCATAGCTCGAAAGTCTGTAGCCTGTTTTTTCTCCTTTTAATGATTAACAAATGAATAGGATGATCATGATGATGATGATGATTAGGTCCATAATTAGTTTTCTCATTAAGAACTATTTGGACGATAAAAAACATAAGACACCCAGTCTCAATGGTCCGCCTCCACGCCACCGTACCCTCTCTATTTTTCCATACCATTGAAATGGCAATTAATCATTAATTAAACGTACATAAAAATTTAAATTAAATTAAAAATAAACTGAATAAACCGTACACAAAATTTAAAAAAAACAATCGTGAGTAATTTCGTTTTTCTGTGTATCGTATATACGAAATAATTACCGTTTTACTACGGTTTGTGTATTTATAAATAAAAATATATATTCTTGTTTTTTCAGTATAATATCAAAAAGAAAGAAGAATTGCCTGAACCGGTACAAGAGGAGCCCGCCAACCCCTTGATGCGTAAAAAGAAAACGCCCGAAGAATTAGCAAAAGAGGCAGAAATGGAAGAAGAGGATGAATTCACGAGTAAGCGAAATTTGATATACCTGTATATGATTATCTATATTTTCACAAACACTCAAACATAATATATATTGTATATATGTGTCTGTGTGTGTTAATACTTTGCCTGAAATTCCAAAACGCACTAAAATATCCTCTGATTATTTTATTAGTTCCACCGAGTTTGCATATCCGTGACTACTGTGAAATGTATTTTCCACAGACAACCGATTAGTAAAAATATTTATTTTTTTAATTATCTAGAAAAAAAAATAATTTGTAAAAAAATCTACAATAAGAATTTGTGACACAATTTTTTTTCTTATACAAACATTACATATATATTTATATATACATTTATATATACATAAGCGTGCACACAGGAAAGTTAGGGTAGGCACTTGACTACTCTGTGACTTTACTACCAAACCTTCCCTCTCTCACCAAAATATTCAATATTATCATAATCATAAATAACCATATTATATTCGACCACTTCAAAACGTCTGTAAATGGTAAATATATATATAAGAATATTGGAAAAATACAATTATTAATTTAAACGAAGTTACTCCATTCAAATTTTTTGCTAACTTATATATATATATATATATATGAAAGCGTGAATTATCTTGAGAAAAATCTACCCATTAGAGGCACTTCTACTGAAATTTATATAATTTTTATTTTTTTATTTATGTACATGTTAATTCCTTTTCTTTTTCTTTTTTTCTTTTCGTTTTTAACAGATCAGGTCTCGGTATCATGTTTTTTAGGGTGGCGTGAAGGATTACCTAGGAGTGTGTGAGAGAATTATTCTTTAATTAGAGTATTCAGGTTATCTTTGAGACGGTTGGGGAAGTTTTTGTATCGAGTAATGGCGATTTGTTTGACTGTGAGAATTTTAAAATCCTTATGGATGGTCTCATTAGAAATGTATGAGGGAACGTTAAGAATGAGCGGAGTATTTTCGATAGGGTGGTTTGAATTTTATTTATATTGGACATTTTCGTGGCACCCCAGAGCCCAATACTATAAGTCCACATGGGTTATATTAAGGATTTATAAATTATTAATTTATTATGTGAATTAGTTTTTGTATTTTTATTTATTAGAGGTATAAGTTATCTGATACGATAATTGACTAATCATTTTTTTGAAATAATATAGGGGAACAGGTAAGCCGTTTGTCGAAAATTAAACCTAGGTATTTTGATTTCATGCTGGTAGGAATTGGAATATCTTTGAAATATATTTAGGGGTGGTGCTTTTTTTAAAGTGTGAAGGTAAAGTGTGGAACGATTTACTTTCGTCAAACTTGACACGCCATTTGTCAAATCAATTCCGTATATCATTAAGGTGTGATTGTAGGTGGACAGAGGTAAATTCGTGATTTTCGTCGATGGCAACAAGTATTTTTTCATCAGCATAGTCAACTACTTAAAAGTATTAGGTGAGATTGGTTAGTCTGAAGTGTATATATTAAAGAATATAGAAGAGAAAATAGCTCCTTGTGGTACCCCGGCTCAAATAAGATATATAGTAAAAGGAATAAAATGCATATTATAATATCAGAAACGAGACTTTCTATCATGGTCATTATATCAGGTATATTATTACATCTTGACTATTATTATAATGTTTAACCACGTTTAAAGGCGATTTATCTACGTGTGCATTTAAGAACATTGAAATGATAACAAAATATTTTAATACTAAGGTTGTCTCAACAATGATTCATTATTATATTGAAAATAAAACATCTTTATTTCTTATTTTTTTTTATTTTTTGTGTGAAGTCAATTATTAATAATGTGCATTGAAATTTAGTCGGATGATTAGGTTCTTAGGAAAGCTCGTACTAAGACTTAAGAAGTTATTATTTTTGTGATAAGGCTTAATTAATTAGGATTCATATTATAAAACAACGTACTAATAGAGGTGCCTTATTAATTTCACGAAATTTTCGAAGACTATAACTATTGACGGAACGTTTATCGTCTTCGGCCACCGATATTTCTATATAATAAGAGTCGTATGATACTTTGAAATTCGCTACAAATGATTTCTGCTATAGCGTTTCTCGTGATATGGCTGCCGTTAGGTATTTATTTCAGAAATACTATCATCTTCTACGATTGATATTTTTAACTCCGAATGATCATTATATTTAGATTGATTATTATATTAGAAATCATTATAGTTTCTTACCTATAATTACCTTCTTTTCTATACTTGCTGAACGGAAAACATTTTAAACGATTTTATATTATTGAAATAATATAAACTCCATAATAGTTTTTCAATTGTATATTGCGAAGACTTAAAAATGTTTTAAACCAATCATTGGATTTAGAAACGACTTAAAAGATTTACGTGTAATACTGGATCATTTTTTTCAGTCTACCTCACAAATCAAATTTTGTCCTGATTATCGTGTAATCTAACGTCGCTACCTTGTATGCGTGACGTGCATTTTAACTAAGCAGTTCCGATCGAATAGACTGGTGAATCGTATACTGCAAAATGCAGGTACAATTATATCAGTGCACATGACGACGAAAACTACATAATTTATTATCTACGCGCGTGTTCTTTTTTAACGCATGTGCGTGCATGCGTGCAATCGTGCGTGTGTGTGTATGTGTGTGTTTATGTTGTCGAGCGTCTGAAAACTGCTGTGATCGAGATGGAATGAATTTGAAAATTACAAAAAAAGCGACGAAACGTGTTTTTGCACTAATATTATTCTCCTAGTATATAATTTATGAAGAGAACACCATAGGTATGCATCTAGTTATTTTAGGTTATCCAGGAAATATATGTATACACATATTTATTTAAACTAATCATACTACGTAATCTTGCCTAGTGCTATACTGGTGAAGACACCACCGCAGAAACTTCAAACTAACTGCCGCAAGTGTACTCGAACGGTTAATGTTCGATACACGAGACTGTGCAATAGGCAAATTTCTCACTTTGCAGCAAACAGACGTTCCAATAGCGCTAATTTTCAATATTTTTCTTCCACCCGTCAGCCACTACTCCAAGTGACAAAATGTTCTCATTAATACTTAAGAAATTATTGAAATCAAAAATTACAGAACGGACAATCTTTTTTTTAATATATAGGCAAAAGAAGAAAACCCGTAATAAAAATTCAAGCACCATAAAATTGAAACGCCATGGCATTTCATTTTTAACAAAATGTTTTTTTTGTCAGTAAAAAATGGATGACAACTTTTCTTCTTTATTTATTTATTTTATTTTTTCCAAACACTCCATTTGTGATTTATTTTACCAGGTTTATTGCTACACTTTTGTTTTATTCATCATTGTCCGACAATACTTTAGATGTATACATGTATTTATATATATATATATATATAGCAATAGGTGTGTGCGTAATGTTTAAAAGAACACTAGTTATCGTTCAGTCAGTCGAGCAAAAAAAAAAAAAATAAATAAAAAAAATAAAATAGCGTTTATCCTTTTCCGTGATAGCTGTTTTGTGGCCCTTGCTGGATAAACAAGTATCCTCATCAGTATTAAACTGACATTTAGAGCTCCTGTCGGATAAATAGCAATAATCAGGTCCGTTTTCCGTTTACCGTTTTCGTTTTATAAATAAAACATTCGAGACGTTAAATTACTATGCTTTTCAGTGCATTGGGATGATTTGATAAATTACATTCGAACTTAAAGAGATTGTGTAAAAGGTTTAGGATGAATTGAAACGGTAGAAAACTCGGCCCATTCGAAAAACTTTTTCTAATCATAATATTACAACACTGAACCAAGTCTCGATATTTTATGATCTTCATGGAATTTCGTTTATAAATGTACGTATAGTGATACAGCCAGATGAACTTAATGTATTTATTTTGTTTTAACTCAAACACGCGACTTCCGATCGCTTGCTCTCCTCTTATTTTACACAATTCACTTACCTACGACTCACATCCACTGACATTTTAAAATGAAATTCCCTTTTACAAATAGCTACAGAGTGCAAGATACATGAAGAATTAACATTTTATTACTTAAACGGGTTATAAATGTACCATTCTATTCCGCACTTCTTAATGAAATGAAAACTAACTAAAACATAACGGGATAATTAATATCGGTTTAGTTTTGAATGTCGGTTAAGAAAAACAGCTATCCCGTTGAATACAAGAGTTAAGATAGTTTCTGAGACCGAATATTTGTGTACTGTCACTATTGGTTTCTCGGAAGGAATATTTAATGCGTTGTCTACGTTAAATGTTGAATATTTCGAACTTTGTTGTAGCCTGAATTTGTGCAAGTTTAAAAAAAATTAAATAAAATTAAGGTCAGTGTATGGAAAAATTAATTGAAATTTAAAATTTCGAATTTCGTTGCAATACGAAAGCAATTCGAAGCAATACGCCTGTAAAAAATAACAATTTATGGTACCAAACATTTGTGTATATTAATCTTACATAAGTTAACACATTATTACTTATATTTACAGATATGAAATTAAATAAGTGTTATCAAAAGATACATGAATAATTCAAATAGTTAACCGTCTAAGGAAACTTCTGAGAGAATTAGAATTTTACATATCCAAAAAACCTTTCATGTCCAATTTCCAACCCGACGAGATGTTGCGTAAACCATATCACGGTGTAATCTGATAATGTTAAACCTACAAGTATTCTTGGCTTCGATCAAAATTCATATAATAATGATAATGAAACGTATTAAATTACGAGTACATCATTGAATATTAATATACCATTATTCGTGTCAAATTGTGTTCGATGATAAATTGCGGGCGAAACAGAGATAAACTACTAGTTAAAATGGAATTTTTAACTATTAAGAGTTTCTACAAAACGTATTTTAGTAAATTATGTATAGAAAACTATTGATACATCGACCAGGTGTAATGCACAGTTTTCGACCAGCTACCATCGTCCACTAAAATTATATGACCAACATCGACTTTAAAAACATAATTTTTTTCTATCTCAACCCAACTATAACGAAAATTCGTATACTTTTACTTTACCGAAGTATCGCCCGTTAATTTGAATCTCTAGTTTTCGTGACGCCACTACCGCGTCAATATGGTATGACGACTATCGAATTAATTTTCAAATTTAATTTCCAACTTAAATTGAATAAAGGGCGAAATTAAACGCGTGAAAATGTTTTGTGTGTATGTGTTTATACGATGGTTTTCTTTTTTTTTTCAATTCAATAGCGCCTCGAGACATTATTTCGCAAGTTCCTTTCAGGAATAATTAATACAGATATGAGACGATTTGGACGTGAACTCCGAACGATTGCCTTGTTTGAATAGGACTCTCTGTCTGTCTCTTTCACTCTCTCTCTTTTTCTTTCTTTCTCTCTGTCATTCTCTGTACTCCGTCTCTGCTACCACAGTTACTCGTTTCCCATCGCAGGCCATGTTATTAGATTGCTATTGTAGTGCAATTTGTGGCGGTGAAGGGGATGGCAGCGATGGTGGTAGTGGTGGTTATACGCCACAACATGGATCGAAAAATTATCGTAGTCGTGCGTTGTTACGTTCATTGTCACGAGACGGCATCGGTTTTCTGAAAAGACGGTCTGACTGAAACCATTATGACGATGAAAACTTTCTCAAGTCTGGAGCCATTCTTTCTAAAAAATTTTCAGAATTGCATGATCGTATAAACAAAAGGGATACATGGAACGACGAAGGCGAAAAACGACAATATGCTAAGTCAACCGATAAAAAAACCTATTTAAGGACATATACTACTCGTTCGACCGGTCCCGTTATACGATAATATGGTCTCGGTGAAAACGGTTTAAATGTCAGGTCGAATATAAAAAAGCCGGAAAGGAGATAAATCGCAAAGATTTATCCTTGAGCGGGACCAATCCACTGTATACATTGAACGGATCTCGATGTGTTTTTATCGGGCGCACTGCGAAACTCGTATCACCGACTAGGACAAAATATAGCGTGGAGAGAAGTTCGCTGAACTAAGGTCTATGTAGCAAAAGAAAGGTTTTCGTTGTGAATATATGGCAACCTGCATTATGCATAGTAGTTCTAGAAAATAAACTTTCGGAATTAATTCATATGAAAACTATTAATCTACGTAGTATGTAGCTTGACATTGTTACCGATGAATAACCATTAGTACTTAATCACTATCATTATTATTATTAATATTATTATGATATCATCGTCAATATTTTATCATTTAAACATGTGACTTTTAAAAGTTTTTGTTCAATTGTGATTCTTAAAGACATATACATATACGCGTGTATTAACCATGGCAATCTATCATAAAATTATTCAAAACAATTAGTGTTTTATAAGTCAAATAACCTACTTATGTCCAATAAAGTTAAAAGTATTTAAAAATAATTTGTTCTTTTATAATTTTTTACAAATTTATTGGATTATGATAAGATATAATACTAACATGAAATATGATACCTCATGCGAAAAAAAAAGAAAATTGTAACAATTAAAAACTAAAACAAACGCGACTTAGCTGTGCGTTATCAAAATATAAAATAGTATTGTTAAAAACACAATACCGTTATGGCAATTTGGGTAAAATAATACAAGCATAATAATGTAAATCATATATAATAAATTTCGTTGCGCAAACACTATTAACATTAACATAGTTAGTAGTCACAGATGTATCTAAATTTCCTATGTGTAATGCCGTTTTATTATTCTCACCACCCATAGCCATTTCACATTTCTATGTTTTTTTTTATCATATTAGCGTTTGTTTCGCAGCCGTTATTGCATCGTTCTATATTGACAAAATATTTTCTAACGCCTATGATAAAGATGCGAAAAAACACAAGTCCAAAACGAAACCATGTTGGTTTAGAATAACATTAAAATCATTTGGCGCAACCATATCACAAACTATAGTACCACCGATAAATAATAATAATAAAATACTCAACATTCGTCGTAATTATTTCCAATTTTCATACATTTCATAACTGATTCCATTCGTTAGCTATTGACGTTATGCGTGAGTCTTACGCTACAAATGAAGAATATCAATTTCATTCAAGTCTGAAAACTTTTTTATTGACCGCGGTTCAAAGTCAAATTACTTTTTGTTAACATTTTGAAACTACGCTCCGGTCTTCTTTTGCGACTGAAAATATTTTAAAGAGATCCGTCTGAATAAACTCTTTTACATAAACGTTTTGCAAAAACCACCACACCCGCGACAGATAGAACAATGCAATGCTCTATAATAATTGTTCTGCTGAACAGCGTAAAATGTCTTATATTATATGTCACTTGCATAACATAGGAGTTTTGTATACCAGAAACAATGCTTTAATAACAGATATTTTTGTGCTATTAACTATTGTACTCAACCGTCTACAGTAAAATGAACCGTTACTGACCAATCGTTTTCCTAAGTACTTACTAAGAAATTAAAGGATATTCCTTTACCCCAGTTTGTTTTGTTTTTGATTAAAGACTACAATGTGAAATGAATGATCATTTTTACGAATGTATATATTTTCAATCTGGGTGTGTAATATTTGTATTTTATTCTCTTCTATAAATTAAAATAACATTCACTACGTAAATAATTTAAAAAAAAAAATCATTTCGAAATTAATAATTCAAGTTTATGCGATCTTCGTTATAAACATTTTACTGAATATTTGTGTTCATATTTCTAATGTTTTATACTTGTAATTGTCGTACAAGCAAGTGAAACGCATTCACTACATAAAAAATACTTTGAATAGCAACATTTAAAAGAACTCAGGGATATTTATTTGTATATATAATATACGTACGGTTGAAAATAATTTTAAAATTTATTGCTTATCACAAAACGAATACGTATTATATACGAAAAATTTAACACAAGAAAGACCAAACGCTTTCGAATCGAACATCCGATTGGCATTTTTAATCAACAAGTGCATGGTATGATTCACCGAATGACTTTGAATGTAATTAGATGAACTAGAATATTTTCATAGTACGTTAGTGGCAAAATCCTGACATCCGGATCATCACGAAAGTGCCCGATTTAATTTCTCCATTTTCAGGTTATCCGTACGCTCTGTGTCGTACGAATGCATTGAAAAGATGGACCATTGAGAGTCGAATTTCCTTGGATTTCCAGAATTAATAAAATCACGGTGGATAGACGTACCACAAAAATTAAGCTTATTAATTTCCAGAGATAATTATCAGAGGTGTTCACAACAGGACGATGTGAATAAAGTTATAGTTATTTTTCTCGAGGTTTCATGAACATCCCAACACTATGAATGTAACAAATGATTCCCCCGTGGACGGGGTTAGTGAAGGAATAATAATAATATTTTCGAGGAATATAAATAACACTTGAATGAATACGCACGAAAAGAGAAAGAACGAGAGAGCGAAACAGGACCTAGCCTTAGAGATTGAGACAAAGTTTATTACCGATAAGAGAGATAAGAAAGTTTCGAAATAGAGGCTTACGGCTGGGTATTATTTTCTAGTGTGGTGGTACTGAAAAGTTTTGCAGGCCTTCGTATTATAATACCGACCAGTGGATTAAGTCATAATTTTTATTATTATTATATCCAAAACGCAAATTTGATATTATAAACTCACTGGAGGATGAATTTCGATGCGATTTACCTTATTTTCCTTTTTATTTTTTTCTCTGGTTTTTGCAATTATTACAATAACAACTCATAATATTCAAACCACAATGATTTTGTTTTTCTTTCGCAGAATTGAAGAACACCATCGAGACTCAAGTAAATGAACTCAAGTCTCAAATCGAGAGCAAATGCAGCCTTCAATGAGATGTGTTCAAAAACATTGCGGAACAAATTATTACATAAAAAAAAAAAAAAAATAAATAAATAAATTAAAATTAAAAAAAAAAAAAACTATAAGAAACTTAAAACAGCGTAACTTTTCAAAAAAAAAAAAAAAGAATATTGTGATTCAAACCCATTAAAATATATTATTATTACTATATAGAACATAAATATTATGATACAGAGATGTATGTGTACACGCCGTGCGCGTACATCTACATTTATATATTATATATATAAATATTAGAATTTGAAAATATTATTATTATTATTGTTGTTGTTGTTATTGTATAACATTTATAAATGTCTAGTTAGAGTTTCAGCAGTTTTCCAAAAAACGAAATCGAAGTAATACACGTAAATATTATTTATTATATATTGTTAATTATTATGGAATTAAAAATTTATAGAGCAACTGAAGAATATACTTTAATATTAATTTTAGTACGTCTTTTGAATCGTTGCACATGTGTGTACGCGTGTGCCGTATGTTTTAAACATTTTCGTTTGCGTCACGCGTTCGGGACGAACTTTTCAACGCCGTCGTCCTGTGCTCGCCCTCCCCGACGCGTAGCAAACCGTCCCGTACGCGTAACGTGTTTTCATTAACGACTTTCACTCGTTCGATAGACGTTGTAGCGAATTCGACTTTATAGTTGGTATATATATATATATAAATATTATAATATACCGTCTGAACACACGGATTGTAGGGTATGTATCGTTGTTTTTCGTCACTTCACTCAACAAATCAAAAAACTTACGTTTCGCGGGTATAGTTCATCCAATCGTTTTTTTCCTGGGCGGCCAAGCGTGTTTGTCCGTTGTCGATGTCATTTCCCGCCGAGTTCGATTTTATTATTATTATTTTTTTTTTTTTTGATTATTGTTTCGGTTCCGAAAACCGACGACATTAAGGAGAACAAATGAATCGAACGTACACCAAAAATTAACCGTACTTACGATAATGTGGTAATAAAAGTATGACAACGACAACGACTGTGTCGTCATCATTGTCGCCATTTTTATGATATATAGCGTCCGGTTTAGCTCCGAAAACACGGTATCCAATCCCGTTCCCGACGGTAATAGTTGTTCAACGCAACGTTATCGCCTACCCTACATGTTGATACAACGATAATGATTGAAACTTATACTTTATTTCGGTACACGACGGCGGTTATTTTTTTATTCATTTAGTGAGTTTAGCAGTTCGGTTTCGGTTAAAGCCAACTTTTACGTCAATTATGTTCAAACCGGCCCCGTTTAGTTGAGTTTCGCCCAGCAGCATCACGTTTTTACCACTCGCTTTACGATATATATTTAATTATACGTATACACACTTTGGGTGTTCGAAAATTCCGGAAACGTTCGGGTTTACGTTTACATGTGTCATCGAATTCCAGAGGTTTCCCATCCCAATGTATACGAATACTATACTATATTGTAATACACTTTTATTCCCTTTAAATTTACTTATATATTATTATTATTATTATTATTATTATACTCTATTATTCGGCGTTATCTCGTCATGATTATACATTTCTTTGTAATTTTTTTTCTTTATTTTAGATTCGTCTTTTATAGTCGTTTACACACTAACTTTTGCTATATTCATATTATTATTATTATGACACCAGACCCTAGCTTTTACGTTTCGCTTGTTCTACGGGTTCTTTGTTTATTGTGGACGTTTTCAATAAAACTAAAAATATTAAGGTTTTAAATTTCAAAACATATGATATCGTACCGTCATAAACCGTTCAACTATAAATCAAACGCATTTCGTCATATTATTACTATAATATAATATAAAACTTTCTCTATCCGGCTCTACAACTAAATTTCTCATTATCTCGTTCTCTCTATCTCTCACTATCTATCTCGCGAAAATTAACATTTTGAAAGCGAAAAAAAAAATTAAAATTAAAAATAATATATATTTGTTTAAAAAAAAAAAAAAATCAGGCTGTGAATATTCTCAAACGAATAAGCTATTTGCCATCTAATTTTGTTTTTATTGTTTTGCAGCATTCATACGACGAATGTGTAAAAAGTAATTTCATAGACTGCTCAAAATTATCTAATCTAAATTAATATTAGAAAAATATTGATTAATTAATTTGTACTGATTGTATATTGAATTATATAGATGTAATCATAATAATAAAGATTTAAACATTTATATATATATATATATAAAATGTATGAAATTTTAACGAAAAAAACTAACAAGAATTTTGTTTGTACCAGCCGAACGAGACTCTGCGGTCTGCGCACGATCCACAATAATATTAAATGACAAACATGCGAAATAATATTATTTTATTTTTAGCGTATGATAGTTGTACGATGTGTAAATAGTGTTTTTGTGTTAAAATATTAGCTGTTATTATTATTATTAATATTATTATTTTTATTTAGTTGTATGAATAATATATAATTTTAAATATTTATTGGAATTTTATATATTATAAAATATTATAGTGACATGTTGTTTAATGCAAAGAAAAAAAAAGAATAAAATTTAATAATAATTAATTTAGAAAATGTAAAAATGTAACAAATTTTAGTTGAAAAATAAAAACTACTACTACACATTTAAATTAAATATAAATATATTATTCTATATAGATGTTTAACATATTATACGTTCGTACGTATGAATAAATGATTTCCACCAGTGTTAATAATTATTGGATTCGAATTCATAGCTAGTAATTTTATTTATTTTTTGTTTATTTTCTAGTACTTCGATGGATATGAACCATTAAAATACGGTTGTTCAAAAAATCTATTGTTGTGTTGTGCATTTCCCTACGTCCCTGTCAAAAACTTGATTCCCATATTAATATCCTAAAAATAAAAATTGTTAAGTTGGAAAAAATACTATTAGTTCGTCTTCTCTTCTACATTACCACGTCTGCCACTCCTTTTGGGTTTGTTGGTCTCCTTGTTGTAATCGTAAAAAAAACAAAACAAAAAAAGGGAAAACCAGCTGAAGAAATGCGCATAAGTCGTCGTATACATTATAAATAATAATGGTAGGCACAAAGGAACCGTCTTGCGGTGTCGACGGAATCCGTTGACACGGCCGAGAGACCGACGACAGTATTACAGAAGAAGAAAAGAAAAGAAAATAAAGAGGAGGGAGGGGGAACGCACTAGAATTGTACTATATATATAATAAATGTTCTCATTTGGGACAGATAATTCCGACTCGACGGTGGTGACGACGATTTATGTGGCGTTAAGAGAGCTAGCGGAGGCGGAAAAAGAGGAAAGATTACGAGTCAATTTGTTTCGCTTGGAGAAAAAGAAATGATAATAAGAATAATTTAAAGTTATCCCTAATCATGATCGGCCGTTTGATTATCTATTAGGCTAATGAAGGGTGAGAAGAACAAATCTAAAGGGGCCTTTGAGGGAGATTACCCTCTCCCCTTAACTTAGTTTGGTCGGTAAGCAATCGATCGATACTCGACGATCAATTTTCAGACATAAAATAAGTTTACATGAAATCACTTATATTAAGTAATTTATATAATGCATGGTTAGTGACCAATTTTTTTACTGGTATTATTCATTTTTTATTGGTGGTTTAGTATATTTATTTTTGCATCCCATTATTCCTACTAGTTTTTTTATCTTCGTGCCACCATTCGAACAGGCATAACATCACACGCTGATGGGTATCCGATTTCCTACAACGAATGTAAAATTTCACATGAGCAAATTATTTTTATAACTAAAGACTAATAAATGTACTTAAAAAAAAAATATATTTATGTACTTAGGAGCAGTGTTGTGCAGTGGTCACATAGTTGGTTACAGCACTTGCAGTAGTCATTAGTTCAAATCTGGAATGCTAAAAACATTCTGCAGAATTAATTCTGTCGTCTTCTTCCCTTGCTATCGTTTTGGTTGCTCTACACTGCTCCCTACCGGACCAACACCACACTGGGAGTGAAATTCACACACGTGATCATTCTTTACTAAGAGAAGGGGATAAAAGCGATACTCCATTTTACCCTTCCGATTGAAAAATACGTCGACGAACACCTCTGGGGGTCGTGTAGATGGAAAATTAAAACTGTATACACTTACAAAATGAAAAAATTGCATTAAAAATATGTTCTAAAAATGTAATATATAAAATATGGCACCTTGATTATAACGCCGATACGAAAAAACAACCAGAGATTGTCACGGGCGACCATCGGAATATATGAAAACATATATATGACCTTAGAAATATAGATTTATTATGTAGAATGTGAAATAATTCTTAAAGAATCATATTTGTTCGAAAAAGAACGCATTCTTCTCGTCACCGTTCTTTGTCCAGCCGAGTCCTTCGATGGGTGGTTATCTAACGGTGGACGGGGTTCGGGGTAGAACAGCAGCCGGCGATAATATGTGATCGCTAAAATTTCGCTCTCCATGTCTAAAAACTTATTTCAATAATCGAATAAAATATTAAATCAGTCAAGTTATAAGAAATAAATTATACAATTGCATTGCGGGCTATAACATCGTGTCGAATAAAACACCGTGTCCCATACCTCCTGAACATTATATCAGTTCGGTCGTTAATTTTCGCGAAAGTCGATAAATCAAACGAGGCGATCAGTAATTGTTCGAGAAACGCCCCTAAACAAGTGTATTCATTATACCGAAAAGGATATGTTGAAACCGTTGAAAATTATGACATGGAATGCTATATTCCGTGCAGGGATCTAAGTATCACCCTCGACCTTACGTCGATCTTCGTAATCCATATTTCATTAGATTTTGTTCGGCAACCAACACGAGATGCTAATCACGGTTAGTTTTATCATCACCCATCTACATACACATATTATTTTTTTCGGCTGCTGAAAAATAACAATTTCTCCTCTGTTGTCTTTCCGTTAAGCCGCATCGCAATCCGTTCGTATGCAACAAACGCTCTGTAGAAACGATTACTCGCCCGTACACTGAGTCGTTTTCGTAGGAAACAAAGCCGCCAACGTGGTCGCCATTCGTACGATGAACCATAAAGCATCGAGAAACCGAGGCGTCTCTCAGTTCGTATTACGATCATCGAACACCCCTATGGTCGCGATTCGAAACGAAAATATATTCGAGATAAAATCTGGCTGTACGCTTTACGTGAATTATTGTTCGGCAAAATTCTTTTACCAAACTCCGTTTGTATCTCGTTCATTATACAATAAAAAAAGGGACGATGTCTCGGAAATGTTTTCCAGTTAAGGTTTCTTCCACATGTGTTCCGAATATAACTTCGACCGAGAATTCGCAACACGGTTTTCTCGTTGTGTAGCACGGTGCTGTGACGTCCATTAGACGTAGGAGGTCCGCAAAAGCAATATGGACGGTAGGTATCACGTCCTCTTAACAGCCGTAGAAATAAGTTATATCTTATTCAAACATGTGCCATCTGATTTCACGGATTGCAACGGTATAAAATCGAATTTCAACAAATCAAACATTGTCATGTTTTCTGTGATAGCATTACGTCGTCGATTACGGCAATACGTTGGGTATTCGGAATTGTTTTCGCAAGACGTATATATTTACGGAAACGATAAACTGCATTCCGTGGTTGCGCAGGGAAAGCAAAGGATCAATATGTGATGACGACTATTGTTGATATTCGTACCCGGCGTTGATGCCGTTCGAAATGTAGAAGATTAGATTGCGTACATCAACAACATCTGTGAACAATATTACGCACGGATCACGAGAGATAGTCGGTGTACATATTTTTTCTCCCGAAGTGATTTTGATGACGACAAGACATGTGAAATCTTTTGATTTTCGGTTACGAAATGTATTCATTGCGCACTGCGAATTTCTGTCGTTACACACCGAAAATGGGTTCGGAAACATCGTAAAAGTATAACGATATTGCGTAGCTTTCGACTCACATTCTATTCAACTCGTTTCCGTCAATCATTGCATTTTCCGGAATGGGCTATAATCAAAATAGCGTGTAAAGACGTAGGTACATCAGCGTGTTATTTCAGATTTTTATTATTACGTGGTATCCTTTCTGGCGATTGTTTCTCGCGAGGGAGAAAATGGTATTTCATAATATTCGCTGATAGAAAAAATTGCACGTCTTTCGATTGTTACTCATTATTATGAAATCTAAAAATATAACATTGGCGTTCAAACATTTTCATGACTGTTAATTGCAACGACACCAATATCAAGAAAACCGTTATCGTGGGAAGTTAACAGCCATAAATCGGCCACTATTGCGGCAAAGGAAACGACTGCGGTATACCACGAGTTACTTTCATCCTGCTTATCCTCCATCTCCATCGATCCTCTCCTCTTGACCAATGATTGTTTTTCGTTCAAGGTTTTGTTACAGACCGTTTATACAGCAGTTAATTAATGGCCGTTGCCGGGCAACCGTGGTAGTATGTGGCGAGAGAGCAGTACAGCGAAAACTGAGCGATGGGGAAAAATATCCCGAAAAGGAATCGGTGCATGGTGCCAGAGGTGGTGGTGGTGTGAAACCCGGAATCCTGTTAGTATCCGCTACTGCTCGACAACCGTTATCGCATCGGACTATACGCCACGATGACTTCACGCAGCGCTTACGTACGTCTAGTACAAGAAAATTAGTTGTTGTCGACTTTAAAGTCCCGAAACTCGCATGCGGGTTTCAAAATGTTTACGATTGGTTGCCAGCAAACAATGCTCTACTTAATACAGCGAATTATATCGCTTTATGATTTTACACTACGTCGCAAATGGTGGTTTGTTAAAGATTCGTTTTGAATCGTTCGGTCCTATGTGTATAACATAATCTTATCGATCTCTGACAATTCGTAACGCACGTCGTACAATCATTGCGCTGTAGCAAAAAATAATATTAATATTAATTTTTTTGTTAGAAAAAAAAATGTAAACAATGTTCTGTCGTTGTATACTTATCAGGATTCATTGACATAAGTCGCCGTTAACATTACACTTGTCGTGAAGTACTCGATGATCACTATATATGTGCACGTCTATGTTTACGGGACGCGTATAACGACAAAGGTAATATTATGAACACGTCACGGTTGTTTTTGCTGAGAATATATTTCTCGTGAGACGTCCTGTAACCATCTGACCCAAATAAACCGAAGGTAGACCCAGAGACGGGGAAAAGTTTTAATAGTAATATTGTTAAATTCATAGGATACGGTCAATCGTGTTACGAAACCGTGGCTTCGTCTAACACACACGGTTCGTTGATTTAAGGACGACGGTAAAACACTGTTCGATAAGTAAGATTACGGTTAGTCGGATACTGAACGGGCATCGATGTTACGTAACAGCGTTTAGTTCGTGGATAAATCGAAACCGGAAGTTTTCGAAGACTTCGGAGGAAAAAGGTGGAAAATAAAAAATGTTGGTCGATCTCCACGCGACCGGAACAGTATGATAATGTATGTGAGACACAGGGAACTGCTCTCTCCTCGGTATCATCGTTTGTAACGCGATAACGTTTTCGTCGTCGTCAAACATCGCAAAACACCGATGATCCATGATAATATTGTGTTCCCATCGCGCTGCTAGCAATATTACCGTCCGGCGACCGTATCGAAGTTCCGTTGTAGTCAAGTCACGTCCGTCAAGTCGTGCAAATACAACCGTGTACGGTTCAAACTCATCCGAATAATCACGTTTCGATATTTGATATTGAAGCGAGTTGAAAATTATAGCAACATAAACAACACAGTAAGAAAGACAATAACCGATTTTATTAAACGCGCCGGTAGGTATCGATCGATTTATATTTCAATCAGGTCAACCTCGACGTTTTCGTGAACGTGTCGATAATTCGTTTTACGTCGAAAGACATCGATCTGTTAACCAGTTTTTTACATGTATGATTGTACTCACGTGGTATGTATACACGGCCATTTCCGTTCTTAAGACGCGTTGTCGAAAAGAAAAAAAACTTTCACCGGTGCCCGATGAAATTTAATGCGCCTAGCGTGTAATAATATATGACGTTTCCGTTAATAATAATCTGTCAACAAAGCTTCAACACAACACCTAGCATAACGCTCCAAAGCTTTTATCATATGGGGGAAGGATGAAATACCGATGAGACGTGCGGCTTCGGCTGTGTCTATCCCCGTGAACGCAGTATTATAATTTCGCGCAACAAAGCGCGATTTTAAAAGAGCACTCATAGGGAAAATCTTAATGCATAACCGAAGGAAAGAAAATTTAACACTATTAAAATATGTTCAAATACTTGATGAAAAAAATTCACAATATCGTCCCGTTACATCGAATGATGCATGTAATCACATTTTTTTTTTTTTTTTGAAAAATGTTTTTGATCCCACGCTAAAGTCACTAGCGATAAACCACTAATTCATTTTTTACTCTTTTCTTTAAATCAATCAGAACGAACTTTGTATATTTTACTTTTGTTGATAACTGTTTTCAACATTTGAAACGAGCATATGTTTCTAACATTTTAAATCGGACTTACCAAACAACGTAAAATAATACGTTCCTCGTAGTTCACTGTATCATAATCTAAAATAACCTATAACATCTTTGAACAAGATAAAATTAAATTAAAATGTCACATAAGGTCTCGTTTAAAGACTCGATGCAGTGATTAACAATAAATACACACAATTTTACCGTGTAAGTTGTCATCATGATGATAGTGATGACAGTTATGATAATTTTAATAGTTATAATAATTATAATGTTATATTTGTAATGATAACAAGAAGAGCCGTCACGGATTTTGAACGACGCAGTCATGAATTTTCACGAACGTTTCCGAGTAGAACATGGAGCACACTGCCGCGTTGTTGTTGTATGTGATTTCTGGAATTTTGAACTCGGGATTGACAGACACCTGAATGGTAACAAAAACAAAACATGCAAAGCATTATTATTACAACTCATTATTTTTACACAATCTTGGACAGGCTGAGTGGTGCAAGAGTGACTCGGCAGAAAAGATGAAACCAACACAAATTTTTAACAACGGCAAAGTATAATTATTATGAAAATGCGTCATGTTGACATATTTTATTTTTTTATAGAGGAGAGATAAAAAAAATCATATACTTTCCGCCCATAACTAATGGAATCATTAGTACCCTTCTCAGTATAAATAATTTTTTAATATATCTGTCATTTTACATTTTATATTTTGTCATACATTTATGGTGAAAAACAAAAAAAAACCTTTTATGTTTAATTATCTTTCAAATTAAGAATATTTTATTCACGTTTTAAATACAAAGGATTACGATTCATGACCAGGTTTGCAAGTGGAAGGTTAAGATGCTATAGACCTCTTTTACCATCGGGATACATGCCTGATCACGTGATGACAATGGTATTATAACTGTTGTGGCTAACGGCCACGACGAATATTGATCACGTAATAGTAAATATGTGATGTTCCTTCTGGGTGCAGCCCAGAGATGAACTGGGTATGAAAGGCCTCACCGGGGATAGACATTCAAAGGGCCTCAGCTCTAATTAAATTCACCATTAATAACTAAATTATTAGTTAGTTATTAACAATATAAATATTGATACTAATACTACTATAATTGAAATTAGAAGAGGGGAAACGTGGTCCCCAAATTTTTAAGAAAGTTACATTTGTTCAATTTTTAGAGGGACGAAAAATCAAATTAATAAATATGTTAGCCCTTAAGATGAAAATCATATTCGCACCAATGAATACTAACAAAACAGTTCTACATACTAGGTATATTTTACATGAAAAAAATATTAATATATTTCTATAAACATGCTTGGTAAATTAAAAATAACAAATAACTTAACAATTCTAAAAATATTTTAATTTTAATATTTTAAAACAACAACTGTTTAATTTCACTTGATCTATTTGCAAGTTTGTCAATAATATCTTCATAATTCCACTAGGAAATAATATTGGCCTTAGAGTTCAATAAAAAGAAAGATTCCAATAAGTCTTGACTAATAAAAAATCGCAGTCGAGTTTTAATAATTTTAAGCTTTGAGAAAAAACGGTTACATGAGAAACATGTGTGAAAAATAATGTTAATATTGTTTCATAAGGTATACATTTCAATACGAACTGCTATGTAAATTAAAATATTTCAAACATTTTAGAACACATGTAATACATTTTTGAATTTTGATCAATAACACAATATATTTTTTCATCATTACCAGTTTTAGAATCTGAATCTGAATCTGAATCTATTTTAGTAAGTGTGTTATTTAACAAATACAATATGTTATTTGGAATATTGTGATATGTGTCTGCAAATGATTTTAACTGATTAATGAAACTCTCACGTTTAATACAACTGATTTTTGCCAAAGATTATAATGCTTCTGGTGGAAAAAGAGACGTATCTTTATCTAAACTTTTGTGGGATTCAGGTAATAAAAATCACTCACAATTTAATTTAATTAAAATAAACACTATATTACACAAATATGTATGTACATTAATATGAAAAACAAATATCGATACGCGTTACAATTACGGAGGAATTGCCGAATATATCGCGGATTGTACTGACGAACTAACTGACTAATCGAGCGTCTTGATCAGCCGGTATATATAAGCGTCGATTGTTGTAGAAAATTTTCGAAATTACCCTAACGAGATAATCATCGAATATTCAAGAACATGGGATTTCCCCTTATCCACTGACAATATTGTAAACAACTTGGACGATTCGCGGTATGTTTTTTACGTCGCCACACTTTTAAATCACTTTGGATCCAGGTATGATGCATCTTGTATAATGCCATTTGAGTCATTAAATCTGTAACTCAATTGAGTTGATGCCGTATAATATATAACTTTGAAGACACACGATACTTATGTTTGTTATTATCAAACGCACTATTTGTCTCATCTATCGAAGTTTCATCGATCATTATTTTTACTTTACGTTACTATTTGCAATGTTGATTACAGTAAATTATTTTAATGACATTTTAGGCGTTAGTTAGCTTAATACCTACTAAGTAGTAGCATCATTTAATAACAACAGTCAACAACAACTTATAGCAGCAAAATATCAGATCTACCAACTATTTAAATGATATCTTAGTCCTTACCATTGACTCAGTTATGAATCATTCAATATTTTAGTGACCTAAAAAAAGTAATAGGAGCTCATATAGATAAGGCCTCAGTGTTGATAAAAAGTATAGGCCAGTCCGACCCTGGCGCATCGTGTATTATAATTCAACGATTATTTATTCGTTTAAAAATTCGACACTGCCGAGAAGTAAACGTACAGGAATAAATATCATCGTTGACACACACACACATACAAGTATTCAATAAATAAATATAAAACAATATTGAGGTATCATTAGCATTTATCGTGGTCAGTAGGGTAACCGGTAGCTACGTGCGTATAATTGTTACCACATACGTCGTGACGCGTCGCCTAGAACCCTCGAGATGCGAACAGACAAGATTAGACGTCATCCTACCGTAGCGCATACGATGTCATCATTCGGAAATCAATATTGCTAAATCAAAAGTTGCTTGCAAAAACCCGTTAATAGCCCGTGACAAAACAATCGTATTAGCGTTTTATATAATAGCCGTGGTTGAGCAACATTACATAATAATGCAATCGTTTAAGCCGAAGACCTTAGTAAAAAATAAAAATAAAAATGGTAAAAAAAAATTGTCAAAAAATTTAATAAACATACATAAGAATCGAACTGAATACCCCGACTTGTTTACATTACATGATACAATATACAATAATGTTATGTAATCGATCGCAGAAAAACAGTTACTACTGCTGTTTGAAATATCTGCGGCCAAGAGTGGTGAAAAAGAAGACGCGTCTCCTATTCTAACTTAGCACTATGTTTTTTTTTTCGTTTTTTTTTTCGTTTTTTTTCGTTTTTTTTTT